ATTATTCTCATAACATTCATCATCAAATGATACTGTTTTGTTTACTTTCTTTATATCTGTCTCTGTCCATTAGAATTAAGTATACCTAAGGAAGCAGTTTGTGTTTTTCTTTAGTATGGAGAACAGTGGCTGGCATCCAGCATTCACTCAGAAAACAGTAGTTAAAAGCATGGCTGGCTGACTGGTTCTTGTCCAATCATTAGTTTCTTGGTGTTGATCTGGTTTCCTTCAACTCTACATGGCATTGCATAACATCGGTGTTCTGAACCACATTCTATATTTGAATTACCTTTGAGTGGCACATTTGATTTTGTAGTGTCATGTTACATTTGACAAAATTGTGAAGGCTATACTCACACTCATTCATATAAGTAGAAATCTTCATATTTCACTTTCACTAAATACATGAAATCTAAATATCTTCAGTGGCAATTAAAGGCTACTAAAGAGTTCAAACACTGGAATAAGGAATTACTGCTACAAAGAGAGGTGTTAATATTTATTTTTTTCAAGTGCAGTGGTGGTTTCTTAATAAAAATTTTTGAATTTATTAAGAACTTGTTTTGGTTTGGCTTTTATATATCCTAGGATACTGTCTGCTTAGCTGCAGACACAGATACATATTCTCTCAGTATATTTAAAGTGACATCTTTGATAGCTGCCACAGGGTCACTCAAAGCAGAACAGAAGAGTGCCTTATGCTACAGCTTGGTCCCTTGCTGAAAAATTTCATAGCAGGCATGCTTCTCAGCAAATGTCTGGATGTGCAAATTAGAATGTGGTCTACTTTTTATGACAGTTGTAACACATACCATCTGTCTTTATAAGGTTTTTTTTTTCCTTCATTAACAGCCAGTCAATTGTATGTAATAAATTCTCCCTGCAAATATTATTCATCAGCAGTACTTCAGTGGAGTTTAGATCAACAGGTAAAGAGCTCACTTTTAAAAATATAAATGGAATTTAAAAGGAATTGTGACTTTCTAGAACATAATTGTCAGAATATATTTTATGGTTTATCATTGGTCTTGTGGATTCTAAAAGCAAACTATACTCATTTTGATAATTCAACTATTGTAGTTTTATAAAATATTGACCCTCACTAAGTACTAATTTAAAATATATAGAGGAAGGTGGTTTGTATATATTTTTGTCAATCATTTCTGTCATTGTTTAGAGTCTGTAAGTAAATTTAGATATTAGTTAAAATTCACTGTATGTTTTATTTGCAGTATTTTTCAAAAACTTATTTTTTTCTCTGAGGATCATAATGAAGAATTGTTAACTTAAAAAATAATGTGTTCCCTTACCTATATTGACTTCAAGCTAATGACCTACAAATCAACAATCTCACTCTTGCTATTTTACTTGCATTCTAGCCATATTTTTACAACAAAACTACAAGACATTGAAAATTAAATTACCCCCTCTCACGCCATATTTTCCAAATAATATTTATTTTCTTTTTCTTAAAACTGACTCTTCTACACAGTCTTCTTATTTCTTCAAGCAGTTTTATTATTGTTTCAGTCTCCTGAGCTTAAAAATAGACTTCTGTTTTCCCCTTTATTTTTGCCCCTTTTCCCATAGCAAAGAGGTCCAACTAGATCTTCTCCACAGTGTCTTAGGTTTGTGTGCCTTCCTTGCCGATCTTTTGTTGCCCATTGCAATAAAGACCCAGATTACCTCATAAAAGTCCTATGTTGCTTTCCCAGTTTATTACTTGAATAAACATCACATTGCATTGAGCAGACATAACATTACTCCCTTCCTCAAACATCTATCATTTAACCTGATCCCATTTATCTTTAGCTAGCTTTAGTACTTTTTCTATTTTTTTTTTTTTTCTCTTAACCATAGCTCACTACAGCTTCAAACTCTGTGGCTGAAGTGATCTTCCCAACACAGCCTCCTGAGTACCTGGGACTACATATGTGCACCACCATGCCCAGCTAATTAAAAAAATAATTATAGAGTAGGGTCTCGTTATTTTGCCTGGCCCAATCTTGATTTCCTGGCTTCAAACAATCTTCCTGCCTCAGCCTCTCAAAGTGCTGGGATTGCAAATGTGAGCCACCATGCCTGGCCTCGTATTTATTTTTAGTATAAACTCTCCACCTCAGCTTCATTTGAGATCCTTACTATTATCTCTTCCCCTCTGTCTTTGTATAACTACCTCACTGCTTGGGGCTCTAGTCTTGATCTAAATGTCAATTTGCTCTGGACTTCCACAGTTTTATCCTTGAAAGTTTGTGTTCCAAGAAACCCTTCAGTTCTGGGCAAATGGACTTAGTCGTTCTCCCCACCTACTTCTCTAATTTAATAAACAGATTTTTATAAATTAGATCTACTATGTTGTAGGCACTTTGCTAAATGCTAGGAATATCTGACTGAATAAAAGATATTCTCTGTTCTCCAGTAGTTTAGAATCCATAGGGGAGATATGCAATTACAATATGATACAATGCATTGCAATATAGTAGGTTCAAGGGCACCTAGCTAGCCATGGAATTTAGAAAAGGATTCCTAGTAGAAAGAATGCAGGAGAATGGATAGAAGCCAGGTGTAGTGTGGAGTTATTTTTGGACGGGATAATTTCTGGTTATGTGAAAAGTTTATACAAGGGCTAGAAGATTAAATGAAATGTTTATTCTAGAACTTCAAGTAGTTTTGTCTGTTTGCAGTGTATTCGAAGAGGATGGAAATAAAGGAGTGGTGAAAGATGTGTTCCAAAAAGATGTCATGTTAGAAAGACAGACAGTAATTGCCTGGCCATGAGATTTGGAATTTACATAGGGACAAATCGCAATCCTTTGCTAAGTTGTGAGTAGAGCAGTAACATAATGAGATTTAGAAAGGTCAGTTTGCACAACATGGATTAGTAATAGTGAAGCAGTAAATAATAAGACAGGAAGATGAAAGAACTAGGAAGCTATTATAGTATTTATTCTCAGAGCTAACCTTTTTTCAGATATTCTGCCATTTGAAATATTCCCCCAATATCTTCACTGCAATTTCCCCAAATTTACCTATTGGACAAGTCTTGTAAAGTCATACTTTCTCCAGTCATTTTCTTACTCTTCTCGCCCTCATTGATCTCTTGCTTTTGTGATTGTTCTATCAATGACCATCATCTTTTCATTTAACAATTACCCTCTAATTTCTCTTACAAAGTATTCTAGTCTCCCAGAGTTGCCAATTATTTGAAGACACAGATTATCTTTTACTCTCCTTAGTCAAGACTATTCACACAAAGAATGGTTTCAAAAAAAAAAAAACCCAAACCTTAAACTTGGGCGTTTTAAAAATTATATTTCAAATGTTCAGTGCAAAAATATTAAGGCCATTCATTCACGAAGCTTGTTTTACATTATATATTATTTCAAATATTGTGGTGCCTCAATTTTAATTAGTAAAGTTCCTATGAAGAGAAAGTGACACTTCAAAAATAATTGGCTGCTTAACTATAGCTTCCTACTTCCAGCTAGTACTTTCTCTCCTAAAGTTCCAATAATAGAAAAGGTAGATGATATCTTCAGATTGGAAACTGAACATATGCCTTCCTCCTCCTACTTGTAAAACATGTACATACTTTCTCTTCTGTCTCCTCTTTGAAACTCTCTCTTTCCTATGAATGGAATGGAATGTTGTGACTGGAAAGAAAAGTACTTGTGTAAATTAGAGAGACTGTGCTGCCTGTGACAGGATTTGACCAGCCTTTACCTGCTCTATCATTCATTCAACAACTGTCTGATGCCAGGGAGCTCTCTAAGCAAGTTCAAGTTCATATGTTCATATTCATATGTTCACTTTTATTATTCTAAGTATGTATAATAACATCTACATAGCAGGATTGTAGTGAAAGCCAAAATTGGACCACATAGTTGGTACCCCCATGTGTAACTAGCTATAGTAATAATGATTATGATTAGCCTGCATTATGAAAACTAGATTCATTTGGAAAAGTTGAAGATTATGACTTTTCAGGTTGTCCTTCTATCTTTATTCAAGAGGGGCAACAATCGTCAATGGACTATCACCAGGATTTTGGAGAAAAGTGCAGTGTGGAATTTAAAGGGATTTAAAACTCTTTCAGTTCCCTTTCTGAACCATTTCCTCTTGTTCTTATCTGTTTCACATATACTCAGTGTTTTCATGTTGCTCTTTGACTAAGTTCATCTCCTCTTTGATAAATGTATTGTTTTATTCCCTAAATTTATTTCTCCCACTTCTACCTAAATTGGAATTCTTTTTTCCTATTGCTGCATAGCAATATACAATAGCAAGATAAGAAATAATTACCATAAAGAGTAAATAGAAATGTCTTTCTCTTTTTTGTAAGGAAAATACGTATTTTGAAAGTGCAACTTGATAATGTATATGAATTGCTAATTGCTATATAAGTTCTAGAAGAGAAGTGTCCTAGAGTTGTTAAATCTGTTTTTATTACTCTTTTTCATATATTCCAGTTGACTTATGTCCCTATTATTAAAATAAATTTTTCAGCCTATAACAGTAATTTTTGTATGCTTTATGCATGATTTAAACATTTTCTTCTTGATTCAAATAACATGTTTCATAATGTTTAATTTTTTTAATAACAGGAAGTGTTTTTATTGTTTCTCTACTTCATTATAAAAATTCACCATGGTGGTCTTTTTTCATATTTCCTTGAACAGATTCCTCTTTACTTGAATTCTAAGAATTTGTTTTTTTATGTAGTTCACAGTTTACCTGTTTAACTCTTAAATTTATGAAGTATACCTGTTAGGTACAGTTTTTCTTTTCATGTGGTTAGAAATTTTTTAATGATCTGTTATCTTTTTTTAAATATAAAGGGGGGAAAACAGTGAAGGGTCAGAAATTTCCACAGCTTAGAATTTCAGACTTTAGAATACTATTATGAATTATGGTAAAATATGTTTCTTCTTTTTCACACAATCATACTTTAACAAGGTGAATACAATGACATATTTCCAAAGACTGTTTTTTTTTCACAGGTGATCAAGTAGTCTGGACTGGTTACTATGGCTTAGTGTATAACCTGGTGAAAATGTCATGGGAACTTCAAGGAGATGAAGAACAGAATGGACTTAGAAACATGATATGGCAAACATTGCAGAAAACAAAGGATTATGAGGAAGATGTACGAATCCAAAATGCAATCAATATAGCTCAGGTAAGGTAAAACACTGGGCAATAAATATGTACGTCTATCATCAGGAAGCATGGTTGTCATTTGTCTCAACGGTAAAAAAAAATTCTACATTCAGTGAGTTATTAGCGACTCACAGCTGATAATATTTTTAAAACTTAACACTGATCTATTTTTGATGGAAGGTTAGAGGCTTGAGCTCTAGATGGTAGTGTAAAGGCCTCCAAAAGTCTGTAATAGAATAAGAATTAAATTCATTTAACACATCTAGGGAAAAGTACGCCTCAGGAAGGGTGATTCCACCATAGAACTCTAACTTGCTGGGAAATTCTGATAGACATGTTAGGTACACTAGATTGAAGTAACATTAAGTCATGATTCTTTTTCTCTTTTCTTGGTGAAGACATTTAGAAAGTAATGGAAGTTTTAAGGAGAATAAACAATCCTCTAATTTGAGGACTATATTAGGATGGGCTGTGAAAGAGCTGTGCAAGGGAACTTTCACTACCTCATACCAAGGGGTGCCAAAAGAGGCAGGCTGTGGGTAAGGTTCAAATAGGAGGGGCAAGGGGCTTTTTATGATGTTAGGAATCCAGAGACCTATTCTTTCACTTGAGCAGTTCCTCCCTTGTTTAGTTCAGTGCGCAGAAATACCAGGAAGAAGGCTGAACACACTGATATCATGACACTGGACTAGAGAAAGGGTAAAGGTGGCCCTAACCTCAGTGATTTCAACACAGATAGGAAATGAATAGGTAAAAGTAAAAAAACGTAAAAAGTAAAAAGCCACTGGCTCCAAGATTCTTCCCTCTTTTCTCAACCTGTTTGACTACTGTATTTTTTTAGAGGCTTGTTGAATGGCTTTGATCAAAATGCTGATAGTGATATGGACAATAAAGTCCAAGCTGAGGTGGTCTCAGATGAAGATAAGGAATTTGATGGGAACTGAAGTAAAGGTCACTCTTGCTATGCAACAAGACTGGCAGCATTTTGCCCTTGCTCTAGAAAGTGGAACTTTGAACTTAAGAGGGATAATTTAGGGTATCTGGTAGAAGAAATTTCTAAGTGACAAAATGTTCAAGAGAAATCAAAGCATAAGTTTGAAAAATTTGCAGCCTGACAATGCAGTAAATAAGAAAAACACATTTTGGGAGGGAAGAAATTTAAGCCTACAGCAGAAATTTGCATAAGTAACAAGGAGCTAGATGCCAGTGACCAAGACAAAGGGGAAAATGTCTCCAGGGCATATCAGAGACATTCCCCACAGCCCCTCCCATCACAGTCTTGGAAGTCTAGGAGGGGAAAATGGGCTAGGAGCAGGACCCACTTGTTTGGTGCCCTGGATCCCAGCCACTCTAGCCATGGGTAAAAGAGGCCAAGGTACAGCTCAGGATGTGGCTTCAGAGTGTACAAGCCCCAAGCCTTGGCAGCTTTCACATGGTGTTGGTCTTGTGCATGTGCAGAAAACAAGAATTGAGGTTTGAGAACCTCTGCCTGGATTTCAGAGGATGTATGGAAATGCCTGATGTCCAGATTCAAGTTTGCTGCAAGGGCAGAACCCTCATGGAGAGCCTCTACACGGGCAGTGTGAAAGGAAAATGTAGGGCTGGAGGCCCGGCACAGAGTTTCCACTGGGGCATTGCCTAGTGGAGCTGTGAGAAGACAGTCACTGTCCTCCAGACCCCAGAATGGTAGATCCACCAACAGCTTGCATTCAATGCCAGCCCATGAAAGCAGCCAAGAATAGGGATGTCCGCTGCAAAGCCACAGGGGCACAGCTGCCCAAGACTGTAGGAGCCCACGTCTTGAATCAGCATGATCTGGATGTGAGACATGGAGTCAAAAGAGATAATTTCCGAACTTCAAGGTTTATTGATTGTCCTGTTAGATTTTAAACTTGCATGGGGCCTATGGCCCCTTTGTTTTGGTCAATTTCTCCCATTTGGAATGGGTATATTTACCCAGTGCCTGTATCCTTCTTGTATCTAGGAAGTAACTAACTTGCTTTTGATTTTATAGGCTCATAGGTGGAAGAAACTTGCCTTGTTTTAGATGAGACTTTGGACTTGTAGAGATCAAGTGGCCACCTATTCTCATTGCCTGAAGAGAAAATACCAAGCGAATTTTTTGCCACCTATTTTGGAAACATAAAGCCATTAGTGAAATCCCTAAACCATATCTACTCCATCAATGTTGTAAACTATTTTAAAGTTTGCTGTCTCATAGTTACATGAAGATTGGTAGCTTGCCTCAGTTAATGCTAGAATGAGATAAAACCTTGCGGGACTGTTGGAAGGGTATGATTGTGTTTTGAAATGTGAGGACATGAGACTTGGAGGGGCCAGGGGTAGAATGATATGGTTTGTCTCTGTCCCCAGCCAAATCTCATCTTGAATTTTATCTACCATAATCCCCACATGTCCAGGGAGGAACATAGTAGGAGGTAATTGAATCATGGGTATTTTTTATCTATGTTGTTCTTGTTATAGTGAATAAGCTTCACAAGATCTGATGGTTTTATAAAGGCCAGTTCCCCTTCACATGCTTTTTGTCCGGGCAACATGTAAGCCGTGCCTTTACTCCTTTTTTGCCTTCTGCCATGATTGTGAGGCCTCTGCAGCTTTGTGGAACTGTGAGCCCATTAAACTTCTATTTCTTTATAAATTACCCAGTCTCAGGTATTTCAGAACAGTATGAAAATAGGCTAATACATACTGTAAATATTAGGAAGAAATTAATCTATTTGTAAGCACTAGCCATTGTTTTGTGTGCTAGCAATACAGTTTTAAACAAGCAGATAAATATTATTTTAAATATAATTTAAAGTTTGGATCAAGGAGACTGACAATAAACTTGCAAATTAATGAATTAAGAGAAAATATCAAATAGTGCTATCTATACTGCTGTTGCTGGGTTTTGGGGTGCAGGAGAGTGCTCAGCTCCCCTGAGAGGTTGTTTTTCCAGGCTTTTGGTCTCTCACCCAAGAATGGGAGAGGAACCACGTTGGGTGCACTCATAAGAAAATATTAGACCCCAAAGAGTTTTTTGTTTGTTTGTTTGTTTTCAGAAAAGTGATTTATTTAGGCAGAAAAAGAGAAAAAGGAAAGAGAAGATGAGAGAGAGAGAGAGAAAGCTTCCACCAAGAGTGTGGAAGGGGACCCAAGTAAGGAATCTAGGAGGGGAAAAGCAGCTTCCAAGAGAGTGGAAGGGGAACCCCAGAGGGGGAAATCTGCCTGGATGAGAGAGACAGGGACTTTTAACGTGGGAAGAATTCCCACCTTCTCCATGTCCCCTGGCTGATGAAAAGAGTTCCTTTAAACTTCTGCCGGAATTATTGACTTTGATTATTTTCCCGTGCCCAAGAAAATTTAAACAAAGACCATTAAGTCTCCCAGATGGAGAGAGGGGAGGGGGGCATTGGCAAGTTCTTGTCCTTGAAACTACGCCCTCTTGTGGACGCGGAAAGAGAATACATTCCCTCAACTACGAAGAAAACAAAATAGGGAAAAGCTATTAGAATAGGATCAGCAAGAGTAGGGAGTGGGTGCTTCAGCAGGAGTGGTCAGAGATGGGTTTCCAATCAGGCATTATTTGAAACAAAAACTAAATAATGAGAAGGAAATACCTATAAAAATATACTCTGGTAAAGAGTTTGTGCATACAAAAATGTATTCTGCAAAGACTCTAAGAGAATTAGTTGGTGTGTTAAGAGAGCAAAAAGACCAATGTGTGCTGTCCTCTGGTAAGGGAAGGAAAGAGTGGTAAGATTTGCAGGTGGGTAAGGAGAGTTGTTTGAAGATGGCAATAGTAGCACATAAGTAGTAAGCTCTGGGGAATACTTTTTTTTAACGTTTGCAAAAAAAAAATAAGAAAAAGTTTAAGCAGGAAGTACATTTAGAAAAATAAAAGCAGGCTATAAAAAGCATACAACTGATCAATCTTAAAATTTTTCCTCAGGTAAAATAAAAGCAACATATAAATTATTTTAGACTAGCTAATATAATGGAAAAGTGAGGAAAACTTTTTTTAATCACAAAATTCAGAAGGGTAAAGGGAATGTGACTATAAAAAAGTAATTGTAAAATGATTATAAAAGGACCAATTTACAACTATATGTGAAAATATAGTGCAATAAATGATTTTCCAAAGAAATATAAATGATGAAAATTGACTGAAAACGCTATAAAAATTTTAACAAAGATTTGGAGAAATTTGCAGATGACCTACTAGATTTGTTCATATGAATATCATGCACAAGACTAAGATATTCATTAGTATTGCTAATATGTAACATTGTTATCGACATACTAACCTGTGCACTCTTATATAGCAGGTAACTGAATATATGTTGGGTCATAACTGGAGAATGTTTATAACGAGTTTGTCATACCAAAGCAGTAGGTTAGAGTGGCTAAATACTTGGGAACAGAGTATAAAATAATTCAGTTTAAATTCCAGCCCCACACAATCTCTATACAGATGCGACTTGGATGAGACATGGAACAAGTTATTTCTCAGCCTTAGTTTTCTTATTTTTGAAAAATGTATGCCAAGGGGTACTCCAGATTTTTTAATGATCTCCATTCTAACTCGTGTGAGATGGTATCTCAATGTGGTTTTGATTTTCATTTCTCTAATGACCAGTGCTGATGAGACTTTTTTCATATGTTTGTTAACCTCATATATATCTTCTTTTGAAAAGTGTCTGTTCATGTCCTTTGCCCACTTTTGAATGGTTGTTTTTTGTTTTTTGTTTTCTTGTAAATCTGTCTTAGTTCTTTGTAGATTCTGGATATTAGCCCTTTGTCAGATGGTTAGATTGCAAAAATTTTTCCCATTCTGTTGGTTGCCAGTTCACTTTGCCAGTTCACTTTTGCTGTACAGAAGCTCTAGAGTTTAATTATATCCCATTTGTCCATTTTGGCTTTTGTAACCAATGTTTTTGGTATTTTAGTCATGAAGTCCTTGCCTATGCCTATGTCTTGAATGGTTTTGCCTAGGTTTTAATTTAGGGTTTTTATGGT